AATAACCTCCCTCCCTCATCAGTTTTTTGGTCTTGATAGGATGATAAACTAATAATTTTTTTTATGGGGCCTAACTACCTACAGCATTTCTTGGTAATATATTATGGTAAAGCTATCAAGGAAGATTATTTCCTATGAAAAGTTAAGAAAATAAGTAAGTAAAATTATAATATAATAATACTGGAGTGGAGTTGAATAGCTCAGTGGTTAAGGTGCTTTGCCTGCTAATTCCAGGGTCCTGGGTTCAATTCCTGCCACAGCAGGACTTTTTCTCACGACTAAACCAACTCCACATGGGCCTCAAAAAGAGACTAGTTTATAGAGTACCACAGTCGTGTCGTCACAACGCGAAGTAGCGCCCTCTGTTGCCAACCAGACGTTGGTTACCGTTTATTATGCCTGAATGACTTCACAGGCTTTCTTGATTAGCCATTTTAAAATCTAATATTTTACCATCAAAATGTACTAAAAACACAAAAGTTCGCATATCGAACGTTTATCGAACACACATTTAATTATCAATTAACATTTGCAAAGAAAAACTAAGATACAACATCTTAATAATTACGTTAGAAAGGGGTGAGAAATTGGGATCAATGGTTTGTCAGTTGAGAAAATGGCGTCTGGTTAAACGCATTTTGCAAGGATAGCAACGGAGTAGTATCAAGTGGTATCGTGACGTAACACTGTAGTGCTCTATAAAGCATCATTCCATCCTGTAAAAATGGTGAGTGTATTTGCTGTTGGATGTGAAGTAAATAACTAAATAGGCCTAAATAATATAAAGAAATTTGGTAAAAATGGTCAAGGACGTAACATCATATTACTATTTTTTAAATAAATTTAGATATTATCAGGTTTTATATTGTATTTTCTAATAAGATACCATAATTGCCTGTGTATTTATTAAAATCTTAACAATGGTTGGTTGGGTGATTTTGGTGACATGAATATGGAAGCAGTACTGTACTGTACAATTCTACTACTACAATCTATAAACAGTTAAGTGTTTCAATCAATATTAAAATGATACCTTTTCAAATTACTAATGATGATAGTGATATGATGTTGATGATGATGATAATGA